CCTACAAGTAATCTTCCTGTAATGTTGGATCCAAATCACATCAGTATAGATAAGGATCCGACTTGAAGAAACTTCCATTAAAGTCTATGGGCAGACGTCACCTTGAACCTTTTCTAAAGTCGGAATGACTTCAGTAGTGCTACTTAACCACTTGCCCTCCTGAGGATTTCCCCCTCTTCCTTACCAGGCCATTTTTTGTGTTACGGCACTGCGTTACTTTAACTGACAATTGCGCAGTCATACAATGCTGCATCCAAATTAAATTTACGTCCTTTTTTTTCCCACAAATAGAGCTTTCTTTTGGTGGTATTTGATCGCCTGTGCATTTTTTATTTTTTGCGCTATAAAAAAAATCCCCACAATTTTGAGCAAAAAAAAACTATATTTTTGACTTTTTGCTATTAAACATGTCCAGTAAAAAATGTTTTAAAAATCCAATTTCATCATAAATTTAGGCCAAAATGTATTCTGCTACATGTCTTTGCTAAAAAACCCACAAATACGTGTAAAATTAATTGGTTTACGTGAAAGTTATAGCGTTTACAAATGGCGGGAAAGATACTGGGATTTTTTTTTTAAATTTCTACCAGTAATGGTGGCGATCAGCGACTTATAGTTGGGACTGCAGAATGAATGGGGCCATGTATCGTGAGATTTTGAGTGCAAACCTCCTTCCATCAGCAAGGGCATTGAAGAGGAAACATGGCTGGGTCTTCCAACATGACAATGATCCCAAACATACCGCCCAGACAACGAAGGAGTGGCTTCGTAAGAAGCATTTCAAGGTCCTGGAGTGGCCTAGCCAGTCTCCAGATCTCAACCCCATAGAAAACCTTTGGAGGGAGTTGAAAGTCCGTGTTGCCCAGCGACAGCCCCAAAACATCACTGCTCTAGAGGAGATCTGCATGGAGGAATGGGCCAACATACCAGCAACAGTGTGTGCCAACCTTGTGAAGACTTACAGGAAACGTCTGACCTCTGTCATTGCCAACAAAGGATATATAACAAAGTATTGAGATGAACTTTTCATATTCACCAAATACTGATTTTCCACCATAATTTGCAAATAAATTCTTTCCAGATCAGCCAATGTGATTGTCTGGATTTGTTTTCTCATTTTGTCTCTCATAGTTGAGGTCTCCTATGATGCCAATTACAGGCCTCTCTCATCTTTGTAAGTGGGAGAACTTGCACAATTGGTGGCTGACTAAATACTTTTTTGCCCCACTGTATAGACCGTGTGTGATCCCCTTTTTTAAGGGGGTACATTTACATTTTCTTTTATGATATTTATTGTAAAATGCTCATGCATTTTTGATATTAATAAACAAGGAATACTGAGCAGTGCATTTGAAACATTGTACAAAGGATAATGATATGCAGCAATCTACAGAACCAATCAGAAGTATTTCTTTCAGTCTTTTGATTACACTAAGCTGCTAAAAGCTCATTTTGATTGCTGGCTCTCTAAAATAAAGATAAAATAACTTGGAGGAGATGAAAAACCTAAAAAATGATTTATACAGTATACAAATGTATGTAAAAACTGTACTATTCACTAAGGCGTAAACAAAAAGAGGATCATATAACGAACATCGTTTTGTAAAATGATTAGTGCAAGGGAACATCTCTTTAATGCTTACAAAATTGTAATAGTTTTGCAATTATCAGTTCTCTGTGGAGATAGAATTGTGATTTCCCAAAAGAGAAAATGCTTAAGAGCCTGAAGAACATTAAACGAGACAGGTCTGCTCTATGTCCCAAGGCAACATGAAGCCTTAATACGGTTCTCATCATAAGTCTGACAAACCTGTCAGACCCCCTAATTTTTATGTAGAACTTTGAGATATTAGCCATTGAAAATCTGGGTCACTGATCATTTAATTGGAATTGCACATCACAAGACCACAACTTGGAGATTCTGTAAAGAAAAACCTTTATATTGTTCTGGAGTGGCCCATCCCTGACCTCATGTGGCTGTCTGGCTCTGATGTTTGAATAAGCTACCATTTCGCAATACTGCGCACCTAGACCTGTGTATTCCCTTTATTTGTATTTGTTGAAAGCCAACGAGATAAATATAACTAATTAAAGAAAAATAGAATTAGTTTGTAATTGTACATGATAATATGCTTGAAAATTGGTTTTACGCTACAGTATATTTAAACCCAAGAAAAAAATATAATATGTTGTTATTTACCAGTCCTTAAAGAGGAACTCCCCCGTTTTGCAGAAAAATTAAAAGTCAGCAGTGACAAATAAAAACTATAGCTGTTGAGTTTTAATAATCAGGTACTCACCAGCTTAGGATCCAGCATTGTCAACACCCAGGCCAGTTCTTTGCCAGTCCTTCAAGTCCCAAGTGCCGCCATCTTGGGTGTGGGAAGCCAGCTGTGACTTCCTACTCGTTCACAGTTGGCTCCCCATTGTGCATGTATTATTAGGTCGTGCTGCACGTTCTGAATGAACCCACAGCCTCCTGGGACCTGTGACGTGTCCCAGGTGACAGAAACTTCTACTCGGCTCCTCTCTAGCCACTTCAGTACTGGGCACTTTCACTCCCTTCCTGCCCAGGCCAATTTTTTAAACTTAGGGATCCAGCATTGTCATCACCCAGGCCAGTTCTTTGCCATTCTTCAAGTCCCAAGTGCCGCCATCTTGGGCGTGGGAAGCCAGCTGTGACTTCGTCGCTTTAATTCGTCCGAAAGTCCGATAATTTACCTCTGCTTAGTAAACTGATCTCTTGCTGTAATCTCGCGAGATTATAGTAAAATCAGCCGTTTTCCAGCGTTTGTAGACCGTTCTCTCCTTCGTTTGGAGAACTGATCTTCAGTTGCAAGAAAAAGTATGTGAACCCCCTTGGGATTACGTGGAGTTTTGCATGAATTGGGCATAAAATGTGCTCTGAACGTCATCTAAGTCACAACAATAGTAGAACACAGTCTGCTGAACATAATACTACACAAACATTAGATGTTGCCATGGTTTAATTGCACATAACATGTAAACATTCACAGTGCAGGGAGGAAAAAGTATGTGAGGCCCTAGCTTAATGACTTCTCCCAGAGCTAATTGGAGCCAGGAGTGAGCCAACCTTGACTCCAATCAGTGTGATGATATTGGATGTGTTGCTGACAGCTGTCCTGCCCTTAAAAAACACACACCTGTTTTGGGTTTACTGGTTTCAAGAAGCATTGTCTGATGTGAACCATACCTCACAGAAAAGAGCTCTCAGAAGACCTACGATCAAGAATTGTTGACTTGCATGAAGCTGGAAAGGGTTACAAAAGTATCTCCTTGAGCCTTGATGTTCATGTGTCCACGGTAAGACAGACTGTCTACAAATGGAGAAAGTTTAGCACTGTTGCTACTCTCCCTAGGCGTGGTCGTCCTGTAAAAATGACTGCAAGAGCACAGCGCAGAATGCTGTATGAGGTAAAGAAGAATCCCAGAGTGTCAGCTAAAGACCTACAGAAATCTCTGGCACATGCTAACATTTTTGTTGACACATCTACAATAAGGAAAACATTAAACAAGAATGGAGTACATGGGAGGACACCACGGAGGAAGCCATTGCTGTCCAAAAAGAATATTGCAGCACGTTTGAAGTTTGCAAAAGAGCACCTGGATGTTCCACAGCACACTACTGGCAAAATATACTGTGGGCAGATGAAACCAAGATTGAGTTGTTTGGGAAAATGAACACAAGACAACACTATGACCCAAAGTATACAAGTCATTCAACAAAACAATGGCTGCAACAGCACAGAATACGCCTTCTGGAGTGGCCCAGGCAGAGTCCTGACCTCATCCCGATTGAAATGCTGTGGCATGACCTTAAGAGAGCGATTCACACCAGACATCCCAAGAATATTGCTACACTGAAACAGTTTTTGTGAAGAGGAGTGGTGCAAAATGACTCCAGATTGTTGTGCAGGTCTGATCTGCAACTACAGGAAACGTTTGGTTGAGGTTATTGCTGCCAAAGGAGGGTCAACCAGTTATTAAGTCCAAAGGTTCACATACTTTTTCCTCCCTGCACTGTGAATGTTTACATGTTATGTGCAATTAAACCATGGCAACATCTAATGTTTGTGTAGTATTATGTTCAGCAGACTGTGTTCTTCTATTGTTGTGACTTAGATGACGTTCAGAGCACATTTTATGCCCAATTCATGCAAAACTCCACGTAATCCCAAGGGGTTCACATACGTTTTCTTGCAACTGTACATATGCTTCATAAACGGCATTCACAGCCCAGAGCTGGAGAATCGGAGGGACCGCAAACTAAGCAGAGATAATTTACCTCTGCTTAGTAAACTGATCTTTTACTGTAATCTCGCGAGATTATAGTAAAATAAACCGTTTTCCAGCATTTGTAGACTGTTCTCCAGCGTTTGTAGACCGTTCTCCCTTCGTTTGGAGACCGTTCGCCCTTCGTTTGTAGACCGTTCTCCCTTCGTTTGTAGACCGTTCTCCCTTCGTTTGGAGACCGTTCGCCCTTCGTTTGTAGACCGTTCTCCCTTCGTTTGGAGAACTGATCTACATATGCTTCATAAACGGCATTCACAGTAGAACAGTGTTCTCCGAGAATGCCGGAGAACTGAGCAGCGATCTATTACTGCTGGTTCATAAACGGACACAATAGTGTGACTCAAAGCAAAATGAGCAAGACGCTTCCACCAATCCACCACTATGCATGTGAATACACCCTTACCAGACCAAGGGTAGGGTATGGTCATACAAGCTTCAAAGCAATCCAGGCTTGGATTATATATATCTTGAATAACAGGTTTCCTCCCCACGTAGCATCTCAAGGATATCAATAAAAGTAAGTAGAAACAAAACAGGGACTCTCAAAGTGTAGTAGATAAAAGAACTTCACAATTTATCAAGATTAAAACTACTCACAAAAGTAAATAAAACCCAAGCAGTATCACTTAAATAATCCAGTATAATCATGTTTTTCATACGTGTGCAATTTCATACAGCATATTCCATGGACCATGCAGTGCTACCTCTCTGAGCACATTTGACATTTTTGACTCATCCCTTTTTACCATAAAGTAGCATTCAGTGCAGGGGCGGACTGACCATTTGGAAACTCGGGCACTGCCCGAGGGCCCGGGGTCAGTAGGGGCCCCATGAGATGCCCCTGGTACCTTTTTCATAGGCTTTTTTTTAGTTTGGGCAAGGACACAGGGGCCCCATGATCCCCTATTGCCCGGGGGCCCATGAGTTGTCAGTCCGCCCCTGATTCAGTGCATCTCCAGCGTAGCATTCCTTGGAATAAAGATGCTTCAGGTAATTGCCTTATATCTGTGCCATACAACCTGAGTCCAGAGAGCGACAGCTGAAGGTCTAAGTTCCATACATAACCAGTGTAAAGAAACATAAAAGCACATGTTGGATTTCTAGAAGAAGCAAAGCTTTTGCCCTCATTTTTTTTATGAGCAATTCTATGTGCTATTTTGTGTGCAGCCTCCATTTGCTTCATATTCCTGGACACATATTCTTCTATGCTGCTTGGAAACATGTTAACCTTTTTCTTTCCTTTACAATTTTTGACATTTCAAGCTTGTGGCATTTTTCAAGCTTCTGATTCTGGCTCACTAACTATTCTTATTCTACTGTATATTAGTTCTGCATTTGATACTGTAGACCACAATCTTTTACTCTCTCGCCTTGAAACCACATTTGGAGTCTCAGAATTGGCTCTGAAATGGATTAACCACTTGCCATCCGCCTGCTGTTTATAAACGGCAGGACGGTGGCACTCCAGGGGCGGGTTGCTGTTCACAAACGGCACCCGGCATTTCTAGCTGTGCGCGCTCCCTGGGAGTGCGCAGCACCGCAATCCGGTGCCCGCTGTGTCCTCCGGACACAGTGAAAAACGATTGTCGGGTGGGATCCCGATCATGTGATCACTGATTGGCCAATCAGTGATCACATGCAAAGTAATAAGCAAGATGTCACTTGTGACATCATTGCTTACTACGTGTGAAATATGTGAATGATCACAGAGGTCACATGGTACAAGGCTATTCACAACAACCTTGTACCATGTGACAAGCTGTGACCAATCACAGCTCACTCAGCATTTCTCAATGGCTGCAGGAATGCAGACAGAGAGGAGGAGAAATTATTGCTTTTACATCCTATATGGGTGTAAAAACAATCACTGTAAAAAAAAAATAAAAAAAAAAAAATCTTCATCACCCCCCACAAGTAGTACAGTGTCATGTTGGTGACACTGTACTGCTAGGGTGACAGTATGTAAAAAAAAAAACAAAAACATAAATAATAATATAATTTAAATAAAATAAAAGTAAAAAAAGTTTAAAAATTATAATTTGTGGTTATAAACTAATTTGGCTTATTTTTTAATTTTTTTTACTAAAAAGATAACGGAATACATTTCGGCCAAAATTTATAATGAAAGATTATTTATTTGCAAAATTTTATAAGAAAACACTTTTTTTCAAACTTTTTGGACATTTTCATTTACATAGCAAAAAAAATAAAAATCCCAGCGGTGAATAAATACCACCAAAATAAAGCTTTATCTGTCTCAAAAAAATGGTAAAAAATTCATATGGGTACAGTGTTGCATGACCGCGCAATTGTCATTCAAAGTGTGATAGTGCTGAAAGCTGAAAATTGCCCTGGTCAGGAAGGGGGTAAAAGTGTCGGACTGGAAGGGGGGTAAGTGGAAGTTAAGTTATATCTTACTGATTGCTGTCACTTCGTTTCTTTTGGTGGATTTCAGTCTGCAGTTGATCCAATCAAGTATAGTGTTTTTCAGGGTTCAATCTTGGGCCCCTTACTTTTTAGCATTTACATATTTCTACTCGGCCAACTGCTTACATCACGTGGGCTCAATTATCACTTTTATGTGGATGACACTCAGATATACATCCACAGTAAACCAGACTCTACTTTGTCTTCTTCTTTTCTAACTGTATTTGTGTTATAAAAACTTGAATGGCCCATAATTTCCTTCGATTAAACTGTGTCATGCTTATTGGCACCCAGCCTCCCCCCAATGATTGTGTAAGGCCAATCCTGGCAGCCTATCTATCGATGGCACTGTACTTGAGCTTCAGTCTAAATTGAAAAATCTTGGGGTGATATTTGATGCTAGCTTAACCTTTTATCCACATGTACAAAACGTTGTCAGAACATCTTTTTTTCCACTCCAGAAACATTGCTTGGCTGGGTCCTATGCTATAATACACTGTAGCTGAAAAACTGATCCATACATTTGTGTTCTCCCAACTTTACTATCACAATGCTCTACTCGCTGGTGTATCTAAATCCACTATTAACCACATGCCACCCAGCCACTGTATAAATACGTAGGCAGGGCGGCACGGACAGGCAAAACCACGTTTTAAAACGTGTTTTGTAAACAGGTAGGGGGCGCGCGCGAGGCGCGCCGCCGCCCTACCTGTCCCGCCGATCACAGCCGCGGATGTCAGTCGCCGGGTCACAGCCGGTCCTTACCGGCTATCTCCCGGCGATCGGCGGCAATCAGTGACAGAGAGCACAGCTGCAGTAGCTGTGCTTTCTGTCACTTCCCTGACAGCTCGAGGACAAGCTGATCGGGACAGAAGAGTTTCTCTCTCCCGATCAGCCTGTCCCCATCCAGTACACACCCCCGCCCCCTAGTAAAACACTCCCCCTCACACAGATAACCCTTCCCTGAAAAATAAAGTTAATCCCTTCCTCCCCAGTGCCATTAGTACAGTGTCAGTGTTTTTTTTTTTTTTGCACTGATCACTGTATTGGTGTCACTGGGGATGTCAGTGACCCCAAGTCAGTACCCCCCAATGTTAGAATGTCCGCTGCAGTCCCGCAGTCCCGCCATAAGTTGCTGATCGCCGCCATAAGTCACTGATCGCCGCCATAAGTCGCTGATCGCCGCCATTATTAGTATAAAAAAAAAAACTAAAAATCCCAGTATCTTTCCTGCCATTTGTAAACGCTATAACTTTCACGTAAACCAATTAATTTACACGTATTGGGTTTTTTTTTTTTAGCAAAGACATGTCGCAGAATGCATTTTGGCAGAAATTTATGACTAAATTTGATTTTTACATTTTTTTTTACTGGACATGTTTTATAGCAAAAACTCCAAAATATAGTTTTTTTTCCTCAAAATTGTCAGACTTTTTTTTTATAGCGGAAAAAATAAAAACCACACAGGCGATCAAATACCACCGAAAGAAAGCTCAATTTATTTATATATCATATTGCATGACCGCGCAATTATCCGTTAAACTAGCACAGCGCTGTATAGCAGAAAAATGGCGTAAATTGCAGTATCTATACCATAGTTTGTAGACGCTATAACTTTCACACAAAGCAATCAATATACACTTATTGGGATTTTTTTTTACCAAAAACATGGAGCAGAATACATTTTGGCCTAAATTTATAACCAACTTTGAGTTTACTATATATTTTTTATAGCTGAAAGTAAAAAATATTGTTTTTCTTCAACATTTTTGACCTTTTTTTGTTTATAGCGTGAAAAATAAAAAGTGCACAGGTGATCAAATACCACCGAAAGAAAGCTCTATTTGTGTGAAAAAAAGGACGTAAATTTTGTTTGGGTGCAACGTCGCATGACCGCGCAATTATCAGTTGAATTAGTGCAGCGCCGAGTAGCAAAAAGAGGCGTGGTCATTAAGGAGGGTAAATCCTCAGGAGGGCAAGTGGTTAATCGACTACAATATGTACAAAATTCTGCAGCCAAAATCCTCACTAGGTCGGGTACAAGTTACCATATTACCCCTATCCTGGAGTCCTTGCACTGGCTACCCGTCAGGTTTCGCATAGACTGTAATATCCTCTTGCTCACCTATAAGGCTCTTCATGGCTTGGCACCCCATTATCTGTCTGAACTTTTATCAACTTACTCCCCTCCTCATAACCTCTGCTCCTCAAATTCTGGTCTTTTGTGTGTGTCCCCTACTCACCTACACTCAATGGGAGGCAGATACTTCTGCTATGCTCCAAAACTTCCAAGGAACATCAGAGAGTCATCTTCTCTAAATTCATTAAAATCAATCGTTTAATGATCCCTTTTTTCCTTTTGTTTGTCCTGTGTATTTCTTGTGTTTTCTTTGTAAAGTGCTTTGGGAAGCTACCTTTAAGGGCTCTTTCACACGAACGTTCTGATTGGGTCCGCCTGCCCGTTTTTCAGAAGGACCCGATCGGAACCTCCATTATCCTCTATGGAACGGCGGGTGTAAACAGACATGTGTCCGTTTACACCCGCCGTCATCTGATCCGATTCACCAAAAAGAGACGGATGGGGATCCGATTCCCCTTCCGTCCATCGGATGGGATCAGATGAAAAGGGACAGGCATTTTTTAGCAAAAATTTTATTTATTTTTTGTGTAAAAAACGCAAGCATGGAAAAACCCGGCTAAACACTAATGCAAAGGGCTAAAAAATAACATGACTTTATACAGCTAACGCTACCGGCGGGTTTAAGACACCCAGTGTGCATGAGGAAGGTGCTTCTGACCAGGGGCGGACTGACAACTCATGGGGCCCCCGGGCAATAGGGGATCATGGGGCGCCTGTGTCCTTGCCCAAACTCAAAAAAGCCTATGAAAAAGGTACCAGGGGCATCTCATGGGGCCCCCTACTGACCCTGGGCCCTCGGTCAGTGCCTGAGTTTCCAAATGGTCAGTCCGCCCCTGGCCTAGTGCCTTAAAATCCCTGCACTAGAATACAGGAAACTAAACCAAACCCCAACCATTTTACATAACTCAGTCTGCCCCTGCTGGTGACCAGGAAACATCATGTCCTAAACTCTCTGATTTCTATGTCCAGAGGATTACACAGAAATTCACCAATTTTCCAATCTCAGCTTTTTTCCTCCTGCCTACAATACCAGCAAAATCATACAAGAAATAATCTTCTCAATGCCTCCAAGTCATGTATACTTCTCACCTGGAACAGCACCCAGCCATCGTCCATTGGACTTTGGCTTAATAAGGTAGAGGAACTAAAGCTGTTTGAGAACCTGATACCTTCCTTGCAGCAGAAACTAGCCCCTGCTTCTGACTACAAATCTTAATATGTTCACAGCTCACACTGCCAAATACAAAATAAAGCTTGAAGAACATATAATTGTAAGGTAAATAGTTTAGTTCCATGGAGGCCGCCACTGCAGACCATTCTTAAAAATGTTGATTGCTTGGCTGCAATGCTGTTTCAACAGCCTCAGTGCTTTCTGAGACCTGGACAAGTGTGCACCTATCAATTCACTTTAATTTGCATGCTTGTTTCAGATCGGTATCTTTTTTTGCAACAATTTGATGCAAAAATACCCAATCCAGGGAATCCCCATCACCTTATACGTAGTAACAGCCACTAGGCAGATACCAGCTTATGAACAGCCAAAGCTTGAGCTTTTCAGGGGTTAAAGCTAGACTTTAAGGTCTTTTGTGTAGCTTCTCTTACAAGATAATGCATTTTATGGCTTTCGAACTATGTCCAGCAGGCTTAGAAAGGCCAAGAAGGGAGATTTTAGTTCAGCCAGCCCCCTCACTATAGATGGGAAGGCAATTAAAGAGAAAGCACAAGAAAAGCTGACAGTCTGCATAGGAAGAAATTAGTGTCAGTTAGGAAACTATACTTAAATTCTGATTTCTAGCTCTTCCTGCCGTATCTTTTAGTCAATATCAAACGTTTTTCTTTTTTTTTTACTGCAAGGTTTCCCTTTATCAAATGGGATTTTGTTTCAGGTGTTGGTAGCAGGGGCGGACTGACCATTTGGAAAGTCGGGCACTGCCCGAGGGCAGTAGGGGGCCCCATGAGATGCCCCTGGTACCTTTTTCATAGGCTTTTTTGAGTTTGGGAAAGGACACAAGGGCCCCATGATCCCCTATTGCCCGGGGGCCCCATGAGTTGTCAGTCCTCCCCTGGTTGGTAGTTTAAGGTTTTTTATTTGTTGGGGGTATTTTAGTTTTTTTTATGTTGATAGGACCTTTATTTTAAGCTGGGCATGTAAATTTTGGCTTAGCCTTGCTCATTAAAATTGCCCTGTTGCTGGCCAATTTTACACCACAGTATTAAGCCCCAGCCTCTGCTCTTTGTTTCTAGTACAGTTAGGCTTAACCTTGCTATTTGAAATTGTCCTGCTACAGGCCAGTTTTACACTGCTGTGTCTTCTGTGGTCTCCTAATTAATGTTCAAAAACATCTGCCTGTACTTTTTTCCTCTGGTACATTTCCGCTAATTCTCCCTCATTAAAAATGTCCTGGTGCTGGTCAGTTTTACACTGCCTTATCATCTGTGGTTTCTTAAATTTTAAAACAGAAGCAAAGCTTTTTTAGCCCTACTTCTCGTGCAAAAGTTCATTTATTTCAGTAATGCAACTTAAAAGGTGAAACTAATATATGAGATAGACTCATTACATGCAAAGCAAGATAGTTCAAGCCATGATTTGTTATCATTGTGATGATTATGGCTTACAGCTCATGAAAACCCCAAATCCACAATCTCAGAAAATGAGAATATTGTGAAAAGGTGCAATATTCTCGGTTCAAAGTGTCCCACTCTAATCAGATCATTCAGCCATAACACCTGCCAAGGGTTCCTGAGCCTTTAAATGGTCTCTCAGTCTGGTTCAGTAGGAATCACAATCATGGGAAAGACTGCTGACCTGACAGTTGTGCAGAAAACCATCATTGACACCCTCCATAAGGAGGGAAAGCCTCAAAAGGTAATTGCAAAAGAAGTTGGATGTTCCCAAAGTGCTGTATCAAAGCACATTAATAGAAAGTTATGTGGAAGGGAAAAGTGTGGAAGAAAAAGGCGCACATGCAGCAGGGATGACCGCAGCCTGGAGAGGATTGTCAGGAAAAGGCCATTCAAAAGTGTTGGGGACTTTCACAAGGAGTGGACTGAGGCTGGAGTCAGTGCATCAAGAGCCACCACACACAGGCGGATCCTGGACATGGGCTTCAAATGTCGTATTCCTCTTGTCAAGCCGCTCCTGAACAACAAACAACGTCAGAAGTGTCTTACCTGGGCTAAAGAAAAACAGACCTGGTTTGTTGCTCAATGGTCCAAAGTCCCTTTTCTGATGAGAGTAACTTTTGCATCTCATTTGGAAACCAAGGAGCCCGAGTATGGAGGAAGAATTGAGAGGCACAAGGACCCCGAGAATGGAGGAAGAATGGAGAGGCCCAAGGACCCCGAGTGTGGAGGAAGAATGGAGAGGCACACACTGCAAGATGCTTGAAGTCCAGTGTGAAGTTTCCACAGTCTGTGTTGATTTGGGGAGCCATGTCATCTGCTGGTGTTGGTCCACTGTTCTTCATTAGTTCCAGGGTCAACGCAGCCGTCTACCAGGAGATTTTGGAGCACTTCATGCTTCCTTCCACAGACAAGCTTTTTGGGGATGCTGACTTCATTTTCCAGCACGACTTGGCACCGCCCACACTGCCAAAAGCACCAAAACCTGCTTCAATGACCGTGGGATTACTGTGCTTGATTGGCCAGCAAACTCGCCTGACCTGAACCCCGAAGAGAATCTATGGGGCATTGCCAAGAAAAAGATGAGAGACATAAGACCGAACAATGCAGAAGAGCTGAAGTCTATTGAAGCATCCTGGTCTTCCATAACACCTCAGCAGTGCCACAGGCTGACAGCTTCCATGCCATGCCGCATTGAGGCAGTAATTGCTGCAAAAGGGGCCCAAACCAAGTACTGAGTACATATGCATGCTTCTACTTTTCAGAGGTCTGATATTGTTCTATGTACAATCCGTGTTTTATTGATTGCATGGAATATTCTCATTTTCTGAGATTGTGGATTTGGGGTTTTCATGAGCTGTAAGCCATAATCATCACAATGATGACAAATCACGGCTTGAACTATCTTGCTTTGCATGGAATGAGTCTATCTCATATATTAGTTTCACCTTTTAAGTTGCTGCACTGAAATAAATGAACTTTTGCACAATATTCTAATTTTTCGAGTTACACCTGTACTTGTGCTCCCCTGTGACCCAGAATTGGCTTACAGCTGTCGCCTCACATCACTCAGAGTTGCTCCAGGCTCGTGAAGGATCCTGACAATAATGTGTGGATCCAACCACATGTCTGACCAGCAGCTGGCCACTGTGAGCCTGAGCCAGCTGCTCCCACCCCCTGTGCTGGAGGGTCAGAGCCGAGCCACTGCTCTCTGAACAAGATTTGCCAAAGCCTTGGCAGATTCTCCCATCATTATCAATGGATAGTTTTATATTCAAGTGCACTTACGTTCCACAAAGTAAGAGCTGGCATCAATCTTCCACACTATCTGCCCCCTGTGAGAGCCATTCACACCACGGTTCTTGTAATCCAGAAAATTTTCAGACAGCACTTCATCTGCAAACGGGAAACAAAAAATGTCATGAGAAACACGAAGTACTTAAGAAGTGTATCTAAATCCAAGAACAATGTAATGTAATATATCGCAACTTAACAGTTGCTAGATGTGGTACCTAAAGGTTCTTTTTTCAGAAAAGAAATGGCCGTAGCAAAAAAGAAAGAAGAAATAGCACAGGGCATGCATGACTAGGCCCAGAGTGGGGAAGGAGGAACAGAAAGGGTTAAGGTCAGCTCCAAGGGGTTTGTTTTGATAGTGGGGGTATCTGGTTGGTAGAAGGTTGAGGGTAGGTGGGGTTTGCTGCACCTTAGGGTGGGGGATTTCAGTGAGGGGGCGTCAGGTGGAGCTGGACGTCAGGAGTGAGAGCTTCCCTCCCACCCTCCCTGTTTTTGGTGAGTATTGGTCCCTCCAGGAAAAGGGGGGATTATGTTGGTTCATGGGCAGTTGTTGGTCTTTGGAGGCGGTTGTTATCTTGGAGGTACAGATAATGGTGTGGGACCCATCGGTGTTATGGGATGCCCGGGGACATTCCCAGTTAACCCTTTGAGGACCAAGGGACGTATTTGTCCCATGTTTGTAATTGTGTGTATCATCTGATTAAGAACTTAAAACTCTTTTTTTTTTTTTGGTTTGAGTCAAAATATTAGTTCTTATCAACAAACAACAAATGGATCTAGCTTTTTGCCAATTATTTCATTAAATGGCGTCGTTACAGCAACTGAAGTGTACGAACTTTAAAAAAAAAAACAAAAAAAATTGATTCTTTTGGCGTTCCAAAACCTTATGGTCCTCAAAGGGTTAACCAAGGTTTAACTGGAAGGTGGTGGTGCTGCACTACAGACGGTATGGTTGTCTCCGAGCTGGTTGGTTGCGGCCGGAGGCCTAGTGTATATGGTTGTCCGCAGGTGCATTTCGGATTGTTTGGGGTGCCTTCGAAGACCAACAACAATTCTTTGGGTTTCTGTTATAAGGAATGGTTGGTGTATTTAAACTTGAGTTGTTAATAAAGGGCCATGTTGGCCATTTACTCCAAAATCGGTGTCATGTCTTTTGTAAGTATAATTGGTTAAGGGGAAGGGGGGGGGGGGGGTTGGTACGGAACGGTAATGGTGGTAATGGGGAGTGGACAAGCCTATCTCTGGTGCAATAGTCAAGTATTTGCTGATCCTGCCAGAAATTCAGTGTTCTTGTAACTTCACATATACTGATTAGAACTGCACTGTTATCAACCTTCTTAGTTATTTTTAGTGAACTACAGAATACCTCCTCGTATGTTGCAGAGATAGGAAAGAGGAGGGTATTGGTAGTTGAAATCAGAAGGGCAGCCTAGGTTGACAATGCTACTCCTCCATAGATACAGTAAAACCAATTAGCAGTGACACTCTAGAACAGAAGGTTATTTGCAGGATCAGCAGTTGAAAATAAAGAAAAACAAGCCTGAAAAAAGAAAACTATCTAGCCACCTCCTCTAAGGAATGCTGCACCACTTGAAAATGTGTCTGAATGATATAATTGCTGGCTCTTTCAGTAAGGCGTACAGTAAGACACTATATATGTGTTAAAAAGGATAAAAAGTTATACCCCCAATGTCAACGCAGACTTAAGTGGAACTACAAAGCATCGAAGCACCACAAACCAAAACGTTATGTAACTCATTCTTAATATTCAAAGCAAACTCATTCATCCATGTCTCCATGCTTTACTTTGCTGAAAACCACTTCCCAGCATTTCTGTCCACGGCCATCTTGAGTAAAGGCAGATGATTCACGTAGCATTTACATCCTGGAATCCATCTGCCCTTAGCCTAGGCATGCAGGCAGGAGGGTGTGCTGAGCTGAGAAAACCCCTTCTTCTCTCCTGAAGACTCTTGGGATGTATGACATTGATTTGCTAGGTTTGGAAATCAGGAAGTAACTGAAGAAATGTAAAAAAAAGTAAAAAAAAAAATATAAATATAATCTACCTTCCTATCTATTTACTAACCAGCATCATGAGGATTAAAAAAAGTCCATGTTGGTTGAGAGAGCGAAGTTCTGCTTTAACACCATTCACCTCAAATGATATGTTATCATAGTATTACTTGCAGCAAGTGTTTTAATGATCAGCACCTCTGCCTGGCAGCACTGAGGACCTCAAATCTCAAAAAGGACAATAACTACATGGACTTTGCACGTTCTCCCTTTGATAGTGTGGCTTTTCTCCAGGCACTTTGGTTTCCTCCTACACTCCGAACACATGCTGATAAGTTAAAGAGGTTCTTCAGTCACTAGGAAATTAAAAGTCAACAGTTACAAAGACTATAGCTCTTGACGTTTATTAAAAAGACACTTACCTGTCCAGGGATCCAGAGCTGTCCTCACATTCGCTGTTTCTTCGCCTGTCTTCAGGTCCCTGACAATAGCATGTTTACAGTGGGAACGATGGATGTGACTCCTTGCGGCTTCACAGCTGTGCATGGGCGAGCCGCGCTGCACCTTGTGAATGGTCCCACACAGGGGTGCACTGACAACTCATGGGCCCCCCGGGCAATAGGGGATCATGGGGCCCCTTTGTCCTTGCCACCATTTCATTCTGTAGGGTCTCTGCTTTTAAAAAAATATATAATGCTTGGGGGTTCTAAGTAATTTGCAGGCAAAAAATACTGATTTTACAGATAAACAAAAAGTGTCAGAAAAGGCTTGGTCTTCAAGTGGATATCCTGTATAGTTTTTACTTTCCTAATACTGTTTTTATTCTTAATATGATATTTATATGTATTTTTAATAGTATTGCTTTAATATTAATATTTTCCTAATAATAATGATTGATTGATGTCCTAACATATGGAAGTTATGGTATGTGGCTGCTGCTTTCACCTTTTCCTTTTCTCTACAACTCAGCTTTACCGAACAATGACAATGAAATTATTATATATACAAGCTCTCTACCAGGGGCGGACTGACCATTTGGAAACTCAGGCACTGCCCGAGGGCCCGGGGTCAGTAGGGGGCCCCATGAGATGCCCCTGGTACCTTTTTCATAGGCTTTTTTGAGTTTGGGCAAGGACACAGGGGCCCCATGATCCCCTATTGCCCGGGGGCCCCATGAGTTGTCAGTCCGCCCCTGCTCTCTACTGAAGAAATGATTTAGGTCACATGTCAAGCATATCATATAAAATGACTATAAAATGACTACTTCACATTACTATTTTATGCAAATGCTAAAATACTTCTATTAATTAAATGTTCCTTTTATCATTCTTCAGGAATTAGTCATTAAGCTGATCTAAGTGCTGCACGAAAGCGGGGCTGTTTCATAATTCCCATAGTTTATTGTTATTGTTTTTTTGTTTTGTGATGATTCTATTCAATTCCGAGTCTCACTTGATTTACTTTCCTCTCGGCTTAATAGAAGTGAATTAAATAATTCAGTGTTTGTCTCGCTGCAGTTACACAGCGACTAGATTGAAAAGTCATGTTTTTGTGTCCTTGGCTGAACTCATTAGCTTGAAATAAATTTTAATTCTATGAAATGATTTCTAAAAATGTAACCATAACAAACCAAAACAAAAACAATAAAATTGGAGGGTCCATAGAGATATGTTGGAATCTTACCTCAATAGGGTTTAGGTTATGACAAATTTTTAGGATTTGTTTATATAACAGCAGAACCTCATCAACCAGAATTAAAGTATAACTGCATGTTCCCAAAACATAATACTTTTGGAATTGTGTCTGCAGCCAAAATGCTATTATGAATGGTTAATTGCACCGATGAAATCACCTTTTCGACATTGTTAGCATTGTTAGCTATTCCTGACCAGGGGCGGACTGACCATTTGGAAACTCGGGCACTGCCCGAGGGCCCAGGGTCAGTAGGGGGCCCCAAGAGATGCCCCTGGTACCTTTTTCATAGGCTTTTTTGAGTTTGGGCAAGGACACAGGGACCCCATGATCCCCTATTGCCCGGGGGCCCCATGAGTTGTCAGTCCACCCCTGTTCCTGACCATCACTAGAGGGTGCTGATGGAGACTGGAAAACCTGCAGTGAGATGAATAAACAACCCATCTCCGGGAAGTAGATTTTTTTTTTGGAATTAAGAATCAGAATGTGCTCAGAATTAAACTTACAGTCGGAAAACATGAATTATGAGAAAAGGTAAAATTTCATGAATGCATTTTTTAGAGGCTGTTGGGACAAGTACACAAATACATTTTTTACAGGTACTTATATAGTGCTGTCAATTTACATATATATTGACATCAGGCCCTAACCCTCAAGGGGTGTACAATCTAAGGTCCCTAACTCACATTCATACATACACATATTAGGGTCAATTTAGACAGGATTCAATTAACCTACCAGCATGCCTTTGCAGTGTGGGAGGAAACTGGAGGAAACCCACACAGGAACAGGGAGAACATGCATACTCCAGGCAGGTGGTGCTCTGGCTGGGATTTGAACCAACAACCCTAATATTACCAGGCAGAAGTGCTAACCATTTGGCCACTGTGCTGCCCAATCAACCCACCTAACACAAGCACATTTAAACTTTAAAGATAGCTGTGGAACTCTCTTGCTGGTGCATAGCACTGCTTTTTTCATTAAAAAAACATACTTTATAGTAGTGTTATACATCAAGCATGGCTTGAAAAACCTCACTCTACACCATGTCCTATCTGTGAACATTACCATCTTAAAGCTGGAGTACCTGATGTTTGGTTAAAAAGGATCTGTCATTAAAGTGGTTCTAAAGCCAAAATGTTTTTTACCTTAAGGCATTCTCTGCATTAACGTAAAAACATGTTTTCCATCTTGATGTCCTCCCCCACCTACCCAAATACTTACCTGAGTCCTCAATCAATCAGGCACGGCTACATCTCTTCCCCCCTTATCTTCGTTTATATAGTAAAAAAAATTAAAAATGGGGCAAGTGGTTAAGGAAAACACCGAAGCTGCCATTGCTGACCTCCACCTGAAAATGATAGTTGCCGAGTCTATCTTAATCTGTCATGAAATTAGTGCTTTTTGACTTACTGACCTGGAAAAGTATAGTGATAAGGAATTTTCACTTTTTTTCTGACTTGCGTAGGCTGCATTCAGTGCTTACCAAGGGAAGTGTGGTGCTCTATTCATGGATGCCACCAAACGAGGGGTGCATTGCAGGCACCATTGAGTTAGTAGAAAAAGGGAAGAGATAGCTTGGTCCTCAGAGGTGTGCTCTGAAGGAATCTAGCTGAGGCTGCTTTTACCTTCTAACCACTCGGGCTGGGTGAGGTGTGCAGCAGCCAGACTATCTCTTCCTATTTCTGCAGCATGCTTTGGGTCTGGATGGACCTTTAGTCAGCCTGCACCCTCACTAGTCACTGACCGGGGACCCTTAAGCATTTATCATTGGTCACCATTGAGATAGTGTCACTTAGAAGAACTGGTGGTGCAGGCACTTAGTGTCTCTTCTTTCAGGTAAGTAAGTATGAAACCCACTGACACCAATAACACAGGTCTGCAAAAAAATTTTTTTCAAGAGCTGTTTTGGTTGATCCATGTAATCTTTATGTTTTTTGGTGCGCTGAATCTGAAAATGACCTCCATTTTGTCATAGGACATCACGTTTCCTGACAATTTGGGTAACTATGTTAAATAAGGCAATACCTCAAAATAAATGGAAATAGACTTATAAAATTAAAGTTTTATTACAATTTTTTCATGAAAATCCTTTTTTGAACTGAAATGAGCTCACCTACACACACTAAACTCGATTCTTCTTCCCTGTGAGGCTCCTCTTGGTGCATTTACACTTGTGAGTACATCTGGAATGTCTCTCTGAAGCCTCCAACAGTAGTCTGCCATCATTGTAATGCTCCATTTTCCCTGGTATCTCCTTTCCATCTCTTTAATGTCTTGGTGGAATCGTTCACCTTGCTCCTCACTCGCAGCTCCCACATTTTCAGGAAAGTAGTCAAGGTGGGACTGGAGGAAATCCACTTTCAAGCTCATCAGGCAACCTAAAGCTTGAAATGCTTTCAGCATTCGTCCGATCTTTTTGTAGTGAGGATCTTTGTTATTGCCTAAAAATTTCTGTACGACTTCTTTAAATGCAATCCAGCCTTCTTTGTGAGGATCCGTCATGGTATTGAATCCACCCTTCTTTGTGAGGATCCGTCATGGTATTGACAAACTCTTGATCAACTATAAGCATTCTAATGTCTGGTCCGACAAACACACCTTCCTTCAATTTTGCCTCCGACAGGCCTGGAAACTTGGTGACCAAGTATTTGAAGCATTCTCCATCTCTTGGAAGTGATTTTACGAATTGCTTCATCAATCCCAATTTTATGTGGAGAGGTGGTAGAAGAACTTTATGGGAAGGTACCAAAGTTTCTTGGAGGACATTTTTTTCACCGACTGTTAGCACCCTCGGCTGCCAACTCTTCTTGGTCCAGTGATTTTGTCGGTCTCGACTGTCCCATAGACACAGAAAACAAGGGTATTTGGTATCCCACCCACTGGATTCTTCAGGAAAGATGAACCCCTTCTACCATTAGAAGCACAGACTCAGGGCTGAGGCTTACACATACAGCATGCTGCTGAGTATCCCAGTAGTCAGACATGTCACTCAGAGCAGCACTTGTATTCACCCCCTTTGCAGGGGGGGGGGGGGCAGAGATTGTTTACCTGCAAATAACAACAAAGGGCCAGAAAAGAACTAGGGAAATGAGGAAATAGAATTTTTTTCCCTAAAACTTGCTTAGCTTATGTATATATTGCTGACCATCAGATTTACAGTGCTATATTTTTTTTACATAACTCAGACAACCCCTTTAAGGTTTTTTTGCCATTTTATATCTTAAATGCACTTATGTGAATTAATTAATAGTAATTTGGACTTTAAATTTGGTTAAAAACCCATAATATAAAAAAAAAAATACCAAAAATTAAAAAATAATTATACATTTGAAGACAATTTTGCATTTTGTGGCAAATCATGACATCTAGGAGTTTTTTCAATATTTTATTTGTTTTCAGCACACCGAAATACATGGAAATTAGATGAAAATAATCAAACAGCTTTTTGGTCGCAGACCTGTGTAATCTATTCAGCTCATACTAGCCACCAACGTTAGCAGGCACTGCACCAATGACATCAACATCACAGGGCATTAAACTGATACCCTAGATGTCTTTAGGTTCCTTGTACCACCAATGTAAGGGGCACCTACCATTGACAACAATGTGCCAAAGCAATTCACCACTGACATTGACACTAATGTAGGAGGGCATGTCAACACTGACAACAAATGTAAGGGTACATTACAGTGACCACCAATGTAACAGGCCACTGCACTGACCACCAAAATAATTGGCACTTCTCCCAGTGTAAGGAGGCACTTCTTTACTGATCACCAGTATAAGTAGAAACTTCTCTAATGTACACTAAGGAGGCACTTCACTACGGAGCACCAAAGGGATTACTACACATACCACCAAAGTAAAAGGGACACTATATAGGAGGAACACTAATGTTGGGGGGGGGGGGGGGTTCCACTGAACACCAATGCTAAAGAAAATTTCTCCTCTGTCCACCAATGTAAGAGGGCCCTGCACTGCCCATCAATGTGAGAGGACACATCACCACTGAATAGCAAGGTAAGGAGGCACTACACTGACTACTTACATGCACAACAATTTTCACTGTTTATGTTTTTTCTTTCTAGCCATAACAACTTTATTTCAAAGTGGCAAATTCACAGGAAAGAGACATCAGTTGACAGACTGAGATTAGGGTAAAAAATTATGTAATCGTGCAAAAAAAAAATATAATATAGAAGAACATAAAATGTTTTTCTTGTCTATTTACTTCCAAAAGTTAAATTTTTTCAGATCTCAGTTTCTTGTAGGAGTGACACAAAATATTTGTTATGACTCACAAAACTTTGATTTGAAGCCCAGTTAGGCTATTAGTTGAAATCAGCTAAATAAATTCCAAGGCATAAAAAGCCATGTACATTTTTACAGTTCATTTTCTTTAGAAAGCAGCCACAGCCTTGGTAGAAATGTCTGTCCCCTGCCAGCAGTCATATGTAAATATCTAAGGGCTCATTTAGCAAGTCAATGCAACAGAAAGTCATGATAAACAAAGAACACCATAGCAAGCAAACAGGACTGCTGTTAGAAACCACAGGGCCTCATACAGCCAACCTGATGCCCCCCCTCCCACCTACAAAAAAACAAAGCTTACAAAACTTCTGTTTTGAATGAACACAGTGAGTGATCGGTACCAATCACTCATTGTGTTTATTCCGTAAAGGAAGGGGCTGGTAAATGTGACATTTCCCGAACCCTTCCCCCACTCTTCATCCTGAAGGATCGTATTGTGAGCTTGCAGCTGCCAGTGGCAAGGGGAGGAAGGAAGCCAGCAGTATTGTGGGGGTGGGGGCACACAGGGGGACCTGGGCAGCAGGGGGGAAAGAATGGTGCACACGGAGGGTGATGGGTGCAGCAAGGAGTGGCAATTACTGGAACCAATCCCATGTAGGGCTTTCTCTGCGGCAGTTGCGGTGATGGGTGCAGCAAGGGGTGGCAATTACTGGAACCAATCCCCTGTAGGGCTTTCTCTGCGGCAGTTGAAAGCCAGCGAGAGGGAGAGGAGAAGAAGCCAGCTTTCAGCTGCTGCAGAGAGAGCCATACAGGGGATTGGTTACAGTAACTGTCCCCTCCCCCAAGCATGGCGATCACCCTCCCTGCTCACATGCATATCATTTAGTTGCTTGGGTCCCCAATGGCCTGGGCCCTGTACAGGAGGACTGGTAGTACCCCCTTATCCAAGGCCAAATGTAATTTTAGAAAACATAAGTTAGCTCATTTAACAGAACGTCCTGAACTTTGTAAACGTATTTGAATATAGATGGAAGAAGTCAGTTTGTGTTTTTAAAGTTTTGGCCTTTTACAGTAAACCCATGAGAATAATCAATGTGGGAGCTGCCATTACAGACTTTTTTCAAGGGATGTGTATAGGATTCCCCATAAATAGGATATAGTATATAATAATTTCAACAAAAATGGTGGAGACTAACACGTTTGTATACAAGGGTTTTGACATTTTTTTAAAAACTACATATCCAGGGACTAAATCGGGGTCCCAATCTACTTGTCCTTATAAAAAAAAAATGTTTTAACCAAAACCGTATTTAAATCAGAGGTGCTTTTAGGAATGCTTTTAAAAAACAAAAGGGGCTTTATGGCACCTTAAACGTTTAATTTTGAACATTGCACTGTTTATCTCCTACTCCCCTCCCTGCCTGTCTCCAGCACCGCACCCGGGGACTAGCAGTGAGGAGAGAAATTTTGCAGTGTAATGAGCACCGATTGGGGAGTATCAGGCTTATCCTTTATGCCTTTTGCTGTCATTGCCCTTTTTTGCATTTTTTGCACACGTTTAAAAAATAATTTTAGGCCTGAAGATTACACAGAGCCCCCAAAACATTACATATTTTCTGAAAGCAGTGACTCTAGAGAATAAAAGAGTGATAGCTCCAATTTATGTCACACAATATTATCACAAAGATCTAGGAAACGCAATATTCTAGTAAAAAATACACTTAATTTTAGGGCACAAAACAGCAATGCAATAAACCTTTTTTTTGGTAAAATATAAAAGAGGAGGCTGCACCGAGTGAATAGATATCCAACATGTCAAACCTTAAATTTGAATGCGCTCATGAATGACTTTAGTACCCTATATTTTCTATAGGTGACACTTTTAAAGCCCCTTATAGGTCATCGATTTAGTGTTACAGAGGAAATCTGGTGCTAGAATAGTTGCTCTCAATCTGGCGTGCGCGCAATATACGTAAAATGTGTTTCGCAATTGATGTTTTCATGCGTAGGTGCCCGGCGTGTGCTTTCATGTTTGTACGTAAACATATGTGGGGTGGAGGTGCCTCACATTTTTTTTTTTTGGGGGGGGCTATGTGCTTGGGTATAACTTTAATTTCTTACAATTAAAACAATTTGTTTTCTTCATCACTTTCTTCCCCTATGTGATGGGTTTGTAAGACAGGGTCTCTTTATTGAGATATCTAGTATATATATATTGTATGTTGAAATGCATTTTATATATTGCAAAATATATGAAAAATATTTTAAAAAAAAAAAGTTCAAATATACTGTATGTCTTTAAAAATACATTTAATCTACATTTTTGGAATGCATTTACAAATATATGTAAAAATATATGTTAAAATGACTTTTTGATATGTAAAAAAAAAATCTGAATATACTTAAAAAAATATATATTTTAACCGCATGCCCCCCAGCCACTGTACATATTCGGCGGCAGGGCGGCACTGAGAGGCAAAACCACGTTTTAAGACGTGTGTTTTGTAAACAAATAGGGGGCGCGCGCGAGGCGCGCCGCCGCCCTATTTGTCCCGCGGTTCACTGCCGCAGATGTCAGTCGCCGGGTCACAGCCGCTCCTTAGCGGCTATGTCCCGGTGATCGGCGGCAAACAGTGACAGAGAGCACAGCTGCAGTAGCTGTGCTGTCTGTCACTTCCCTGACAGCTCGAGGATGAGCTGATCAAGAACAGTTTTTCTTTCTCGATCAGCCTTGTCCCGCCCAGTACACACCCCGCCCCCTAGTAAAACACTCCCCTCACTCCTATAACCCTTCCCTGCAAAATAAAGTTAACCCCTTCCTCCCCAGTGCCATTAGTACAGTGTCAGTGTTTTTTTTTTTACACAGATCACTGTATTAGTGTTTTTGGGGATGTCAGTGACCCCAAGTCAGTACCCCCCCAATGTCAAAATGTCTGCCGCAGTCCCGCCATAAGTCGCTGGTCGCTGCCATAAGTCACTGATCGCCGCCATAATTCGCTGATCGCCGCCATTATTAGTATAAAAAAAAACCCCTAAAAATCCCAGTATCTTTCCCGCCATTTGTAAACGCTATAACTTTCACGTAAACCAATTAATTTACACGTATTGGGGTTTTTTTTGTAGCAAAGACATGTCGCAGAATGCATTTTGGCAGAAATTTATGACTAAATTTGATTTTTGCATTTTTTTTTTTACTGGACATGTTTTATAGCAAAAAGTCCAAAATATTGTTTTTTTTTCCTCAAAATTGTCAGCCTTTTTTTTTTATAGCGCAAAAAAATAAAAACCGCACAGGCGATCAAATACCACCGAAAGAAAGCTCAATTTGTGGGGAAAAAAAGGATGTAAATTTCATTTATGTACCATATTGCATGACCGCGCAATTGTCCGTTAAACTACCACCAGCACTGTATAGCAGAAAAATGGTGTAAATTGCAGTATTTATACCATAGTTTGTAGACGCTATAACTTCCACACAAAG